CCCAGTACCAAAAAAAAAAGAAAAAGTCTAATGAGTCAGTACCACTGGAATGCTTCAAAAGTGCTTGGCACCCAGGAAGCATTTAGACAACATTGGTACTAATTTTTTAGATATTGTTATGATTTTAAATTAAAAAACATATATAAAGAAAATGGTAAGTATGTGATAATAAATGTAACAAAGATTTGAGCCTTATATATTTCATACCAAGGGATAGTTTCTGTATTGAATGTATACCATGCTGTTTTATTTGATGCTATCATTTTGACCAAATGTATCACATATCACAGGATAAAGCAACATAAGAGGCTTATATATGAAATAGTCAAATATCTAAATTATCTCTCTAAATTCATATTATGATATATCTTTGATACATCTTTCATTACTATTTTTTCAAGAAATGTAAATTATTCTTTTAGCATGAATCCCAACACTGAAACAAGTCAGTAGGAAACAAATTTTGGTAAAAATTAGCCCAAGAGAGAGACAGAAAGAGAAAGAGACTGAGAGTAAACATATAGGTCCTCTAAAATGGTTTCAAGAAAATACTATCAATAACATCATCCTTTGGATCCAGAATGACCCCAAAGACACATGTGTTTAAGGCTGAGTCATCAGGAGCTGATGGACGCTTTAAGTGGTGGTGCCTCTGGGAGGTGATGTGAGCCCCGTACTGTGCCAGACACTCTGCCAACACCTGCTGCCTCACCACAGGCCCTGAGCAAAGGAACCAATTGGTTACTGACAGAATCTCCAAAACTAATCCAAAATAAACCTTTTCTCTTTATAAGTTTGTCATCTCAGGCGGTTGTTATAGTCATGGATTTGTAGCTCAGAAAGTGCAGTTTGACTTGTATTTTCAGTTGGTCTTACAAACCAGGTAATCCTTTATCCATGCTACCTGATGCAGAAGGTCATAAGGACCTCACTGTCTCACTCCAAACATGCAGATACCTAAGTTTTCTTTTTGTTCATTTCGAGACCAAATATCAACAAGAAATATGCATACACTGAAATTGATGGGGCTGGGGATTTAGCTCAGTGGCATAAGCACCTGCCTTGTAAGCAGGCGGTCGTGAGTTCGATCCCTGGTACCGGTAAAAATGAAAAAACGACAAAAAAAGAAAAAAAAAAAAGAAATTGATCTGTAAGGTAATGATAATACAGATGTTTCTGCTCTAATTTGAAATGTATTTTCTTTTAAAAATTCATGCTTTATTAAAAAGAACAGAGAGTTACATTAAACTGAGTTTAGGAAAAAAAAAAAATAAGGTTGGAGTAGACCACTCAAAGCTATGCAGTTTGTGTAACCAGAGCAGTATAAAAACAAAAAATTGATTCCTTGAACAATGATCTCAAGAGCCCAGTTAGGCAGCTCAGTACACGCCACAGTGGGACAGCAGAATGGCAATGCGGGCAACATCTTCCTGCGGGCAGGGCTGGAGGTACAGGCAGCTGTGAGCTGCTGGTAAATGGCACACAGGAGACAGGAACGAACCACTGGGTTTCAGTTCCCTGGGAGGGCGCCCAAGAGGCTGGGCCAGCCAGCTTTCCGTGCTGGGGCAATGTGACATCTAGAACTTAAAGGATAGGAGGTGTCATTGGCTCATGTTTCAAGGGATTTCGCCTTGGTAGGCTGGCTCCAAGGCAGGAAATCATGGCAGAAAGGAGTGAGTGTGGCAGAGTAGAGCCGTTCAGTTCAGGGAGGCCTGGAAGCAGAGAAAAGGAACAGTGCCAGAGAGGAAGGGGCAAGAGAGGAGACATAAGCCACACTGCCTCTGTGACCCACCCAGACACACCCAAGAATGTGCTCTGCCAATCCCCTGGGTGGTCCCAAAGCCAATTAAGTTGACACTCTAGTCACCACATTCCAGAAGTTTATTTTCTTAAAAATAAAAATAATAATAAAATATATATATAGTTTCTAGGGGGTCACTGTGACAAGTTTAGTTTTCAAATTTATTATTCAATTGCTGCTCAAAACAGCATCTTTAGACTATGAAAAAGAAAAGTCCTAGTCTCCCATTGATCAATTGTTTATTCAATAATTTGCATTTTAGGTTATTTAGTGTGATCAAAATGGTGTTAAATTTTTTATATACGGTTAGAAAAATTACAAAGCAACCTATTAAAAATAGTTTGCTTTTTGGCTGTCTGAGAAATAATTGTAATCTGAATTGAACTACTGAGATCTTCTGGATGAGAAATTAGCATAAAATCAGAGGCAAAATAATAATAGGATAAGTTTTTAAATAATTATAGTGAGCAATCACCAAGTTGTTAGCATGGTTTAAATGCTTTGTATGCACTATATCCCCACAGCTTTCCTGATAAGCCAGCTGTTTACTATGCCTTTCTAAAGATGAGGAAACCTAGGCATAGAAAGGTTAGATCAGTTGCCGATGAGATGGTAAACTGGGCTTCAAACCCTGGCCTATAGCTCACAGGGTGCATAAGGAACATGCATGGAGCAGCATGTCCAGAGGTGTGGTTTCATTTATGGGCTCAGAGTGAAGCCCTGAAAGAGCCAGATGATCCTCTTTTCAAGCAGGGGTGTGAATCAAAGGAAGAGGGGTTGGCTATGAGAAAGATTTTGTACCTGGAATCAGAGAGGAAGGGGAAGCATGTTGGAAAAACATGGTCAAGTCCACAAATGGGCCATTATCTCTACCTCTTTGGAGCCCCTGAGATGCCAACCCAATGTCTTGTCAGCTTCCATCCTAGCTCTGATTCCTGGGAGAAGTGGATGGCTGGCCAGCATACTAATTCCAACAGTCTGGGAGGCCAAGGCAAGAGGATCATAAGTTTGAATCTAACCTAGGCAGCTTGGCGACTTTGTAAGATCCTGTCTGCAAATAAATAAAAATCGAAGGGGTTGGGGATATAACTCAGTCTGAAGACCTGAGGTTCAAACTCTAGCAATGTAAAATACATTTTTACAGTAAAATAAAAAATAAAAGTTGATGCTGGAGGGACAGTCAATGTCTCTGAACTCTAAAAGAGTCTTTCTGAGATATTTGGGAGACTCCAAATCCATAATTAACATCATTCCAATTCCCGTGTCTCCTCAGGAGATTGACAGGAAACATGAAATGAAATAAAATTTAAATCGAGGTAGGAAGAAAGATTGTGGAAGAAAAGCAAAAGCCAATAGTGCCGAGAAGGGCGAGTTGTGGGGTTCAAGGAGAGTGGCCTGTGGAGGGACACCCGAGAACACAGGATATCCAGAGGAGCCTGAGACCTTGGCTCCAGTTACAGGCTGTGGAGCCTGACCAGGGAGACCTTGGGTCTTTCTTTCTTTTTTCTTTTTACCTTCAGCCTGTTTCCAGCTGTTTCCAGCTTCAAAAGGATTAAAGGATTGTGGCTGACTTCAAGAGTTGAAGAGTAGGAGGGTATTTATGACTGATCTTAAGTCTCAGGAGCCAGAGAAGGAAGGAAACCTTGATCCCAAGAAACAGGTGGGTACAGTGGAAATCAAAGCAATGGGACAAACTCAGGAATTCTTGGAAAAAAACGAATGAATTAATCCAAAGCAAAGAAGCAACTCTGGACAGCAGTGAGGCCATGCGGAGGCCCAGCCTCTGCAGCAGTGCTGCCCACTTCTCTAGTCACTCACTAGGAACTAGGGGTGGGAGGCCCTACTTCCACTGACTGAGAAGTGTGGCGAGTCTTGTAAGGCCTGGGAGCCTTTCCTGAGTGCAGAGAACCCGGAATCCCATACTGGAATTGCACTTGATCTTAGCCAAAGGCCGAGGAGTGGTCTGTGTTGGAACTGGAAGGTATTTACAGAAGAAAATTATTGGGAGCATATAAATGCAATGTGACAAGTAGAAACATCCAGAGCACCAATCTGAGCTTGATGCAGTTAAATGATGCGATGGTGCAAATGGGAAAGATAAAGGATGGAAGAGGAAAGCGTGGAGCTCAGGCTCAGGAGATGGGATTCTCGAGCCACAAGAGACAATGTAACTGTGAATCCAGTGCTGGGGCTCAGGAAGCCCATGTTCACTAAATCTAGAGATGAGAGGCAAGAAAGAGATTTGTTTGTCTGACTCAGGGGGGAAAAGTCAAGATCTAAAATGGAAGACAGGAGGTGATGGGAACTGGCAGGGATTTAGGGTTTAAGTCAGTTTATTTGCAGCTGTGTCCTCTTCCATCACAAGTGTCAGCACCCCCTAGTGTACACCTCAGCTCCTCAGATCTCAGATCTGCTCAGATCTGCTCAAATTTCTAGTGCTATGGTCCAAGAATCTGTATTTCAGCAAACACTTCAAGGCTCTGCTCCATATTAATAATGGAAAGCCATTGGTTTAGATTTTAGTGTTTATTATCTAGAATGGAGGTGCCAGGATGATAAAAGAGGACAATGGTCCAATTACTTTCAAGACCTATGGAGACTGAATGACTGTGGACAGGCCACAGTGTTAAACATTATTGTCAACACAGCATCCTTAACACAAAATCATTTTTTGCTGTATAGTAACTAGCCATACTGTTTACCTAAATGGTTGTGTTTGTGTTCCTTTAAAGCAATCAGCATTTCTATGGCTAGAGGTTAGAGGCAGGAGCCAGGAGGGTATTTTAAGAACACAACTAGAAAACACCAGCTCCTCCCTGGTATAGAATCTGCTTGGCTAGCGAAACTGTTTCCAGCAGCTGAGTTGCTGGGAATTGAGATATCACAACTGCTGTGTTCCTTTCCTGGGTAGCAGGTGGAGCCAGTCACCGGTCTTGGCTTTCCTGCTCCATGTGGGGATCCCCTTTAAAGCCCAAGCTCCCCAATTCCTTTCCAGAAGCTCAATGCATGCCTCTTAGAACTTTCTAGATTCTTCTTGCTCCTTCTTCCAACCTGCCTGGAGTGAAGGACAGCTGGGTTAGTGAGGTGAGCAGTGCAGATATGCACAGGAGCCTGCATCCCAGGATGAAGAACCAAATGCAGGCCAGTCCTAAGCTCTCATTGTACAGGAAACGAGGCCATGAGAATGCAAATGACTTACCTGAGGGCTCAGGACTCATTCAGAGTGCATCTGCACCTTGCACTCACAATTCTCCTGCTTGAAATCTCCACTTCTGTTCCATCACATGCTCATGTTAGTTCAGTTCTGGCTGGACAAAAGGTGAGCAGACGACTTAAGGCATTTTGTGCCAGGTATGTCAATAGCTTGTTCCTACTTCCCCTCACCTTATCCACTGCACAATATTCTCTAAAGAGTACACCATTCTGTTGCTATAGTTTAATCATAAGTCACTTAGTTTAGCTGGGGTGATCTAAAGCACTTACAAGAGCCACATGGCCTCTGGCTTTCTCTGTGGATTTTGTATGGCCGATTTCTGAATACCACTTTCCTGACTCCCAATGTTTTTAGCAAACACTTCTACCCACTGTAGCCAAGGGAACCAAAATTAAATTACAACATTGCTCATGGGACTTTGAAAAGCTGTAGAAATAAGGCCAGGTTTCTGAGAACAGAAGTGACTACCCTCAGACCAGTCCAGGATAGTTTCTATGTGTTGAGTGACAGGCAAGGGCTAGAAATGTCCAGCCAGGTTGGCTTTAGTCCCTGTCATCAGAACTGTGCACATAGACAAGTTTATGGGCTCTGTAGGAGCATCCTCAAGTTCATCCAAACCTTTATACTTGAAAAAGAAGAGCAAAGCTGGTTGGGGCAGTGTAGGTTTATAATTCCAGCATCCTGGAAGGCAGGGGGATCTGAAGTTTGACTCTGGGAACTCAGAAAGACCCTGTCTCAAAATGAATGCACACACTCAAAGACAGAGAGAGAGAGAGAGAGAGAGACAGAGACAGAGACAGAGACAGAGAAACCTTATTATTTGTACTCAGTTGCAAAGAAGCACAGCAAAGCATGGGAAAATTTTTTTAAGAATCACAGGTCTTTTTCTCTAGAGGCATCTAGAGATATGCTACGTGGACGCTTCTAAAGAACGCTGGAGCAGGTTCCTTAGAAGAGTTTATCTTCAGCCTGAAAAACTCCCAAAGGCATCAAATGAGTATTCTCAGTTCCTATGATGTAATCCTTTGTTGCTTTACAGGGGAAAAATAGACCTTACAGTGATCATAGTTTCTAGCCAAGAATGAACAATCTGGCCCATTTACAGGGCCAACTGCTAGATAATTCTTCTGAACATTATCCTAGAATGGTGAAAGATTTGACTCTGCAGACCTTATCTAAGAAATCCCCAAAGGTCCTATACCATTATGAACTCTACATTTTTCTTCCTGGAACAGATAGATGAGCCTGTCAAGAGCAGACCCTGTGGTTTGCAAGAAGAGAAAAAAATCTGAGTAGAAATTTAGTCATCACTTCACTGCTCAGTAGGAAAGAAGGAGGAAAGGTGTTAGTGGCATATAACCAAATATAATAGCCTCAGCTATGTGAAACTCTTTATATGTCTTGGAATTTTTGAATCTGAAGTTGTCTTGCCAAGATACACTTGGGCAATACAACCTGAGAAAACACAGTTTTAAATAAAGCCTTCTGACATCTTTTTCTAATGACACATGCAATTTTGTAATGTACCAGCTTGACAGCTTTCATTCCAGCTTGGGAGAGTGCAACAGCATACATCTCTGCCTTTTTAGTTTAAAAGAAAGATTGGGCTTGGCATCACCTCCAGAGTATCTGTGGCAACAGATGCCAGGGGCCAAAGTAGAGGCAGAAAATTAATGCATCTCCCTTTTGTGCTGAGAGGACCATTCCCATTTTCTTGGTTGTAAAGTCTAAATACATGCAAAGACTTGACTGGAATGGGAAGAGCTGCTGTGAATTCATTTTGATCCCAAGGAGAGGAGGGCTTCACTCTCCTTCATGAAGTGTGCGGGGACTTCAGGACTTCTTTCTGTAGGCTGAGCACACTAAGATCTCCATTTTAGTTAGAAGAGCCAAACTCAGAGTTAATGTGATTTTTCTGTAGTTCAATATTCTGATTAAATACCTGAATTTATTTTTTGGAAGGAAAGGCAGAACATTTATTTCAGGCAGAGAAATATCCATATCTTTGGCTCATATTAAGGACTGTTAGTCTCCCAGGCGCTGCTCGAAATTCACAACCTGGGAATTTACAGAATTTTCATAAAAGAAATTGAAATTACAGTGTTTTCATGAACTCCCAGGGCGTACTTCTATTAACAAAAGATGTTTTGCTTTACTCACACCTGCTCGGTTCTCTGTGGGGGCTCAAGTAATACACATTCCAATAGAGAGCGCCAATAAAATCAAATAAAAATTAAGTTCCAAGGAAGAGAATGGAGATATACAATATTACCACAGAAAGTGCATTTGAGAAGAAGCTGAGCTATTGGAACTTGTTTTGTAAGTAGAAAATTCTAACAAGAATGGATTTTTCAACCATAAATCATATAATTTTGACTGTTGCATACTCTATCAGCCAAATTTAACACACTTTCATTATGTTTTTGTATGCTTGTGGAGGGTGGAAAGGGGACATGGGTGAAAAATTTTGGAAGAGGTAAGAAAAAGAGCTAGCAAAATAGAAATTCTTTCTCTGTGTGTTACTGGAAAGAATTAGGGAACTTCCATGTCTGCCTAAATTAATGTGTTTATGCTTGCTAGATTGTTGTTTTAAGAAGAGAACACTCATGTTTTCTTTTCTCTAAGTCCATCAAATCCCACTTCTTCCAAGAGCCCTTCTATCAGAAAACAAGGTAAGAACTTAATTCCCTGTAAATGTAACACATTCGGATTAAACAATCTAAATATTTCTAAGGTTTTCTAGTTTGTTTTGAGAGTTGTGAAACATCTGAGCCTTTTCAATGCAGAGCATTACATTAAGCTACCTTCTACTATGGTATAGATCATCTCTTCTGGAACTCGTGTTGCAGTGTAATCCCCATTATGAGATAAGACAAGGTGGGACCAAAGTGGAGACAGGGCACTGTCATCCTGAATGGATTAATTTGGTTAGGTTTCTCACATGTTCCTTGTCTCATCATATGATGCCACGTACCACTGCAGGACTCTACCTGCAAGATCATTACCAGATGTGATCCATTGACCTTGATCCAGAGCCACAAACATAAAAATATCTCATTTCTTTCCAACTTACCCAGTCTGTGGTATTGTGTGATGAGCAACAGAAAATGGACTAAGTCATCCTCTCGCCATATAAACAAACTCATATGTACCCTGTTAGATTACTAGTGGAAAGCAAAGTTGTTTGTCTTCACTTAAAGAGATTACTCTTTATTGGGAGCAGAAAAATGATAATCATATGAATGACAAAAGTTCTTTGGAATCTACAACCTTTTGTTGCTTCTGGCAGAAGGAGGATCTTAAAGAGGGTCCTTTACAGAGTGATATGATGGGCAGGAAGGTGGAAGATTGGGAGAATACCAAAGAGAGGGCAAGTACCTCTGAACAGGACAAGCAGACACTGAAAGATGGGGCCAGTGACACAGAGGTCCTGGAATTGGAGACACAATGAATGAGAAAGAACCAAAGTGAGGGGAGGCTGCCCATGGCTGGAGAAACGTTCTGGGAGGAGCTACACATCTGTGCAGTGGGACTCTCACTGATTTTTCACCCATCCATCTGAACACCCTTGCTCAACACCTGCTTGCTGAGTGTCAGGCTCTGGGTTAGGTGCCAACCCTAAGGAATCTTCCGTGAAGTATCCCACAACACCCTTCTGTATCCTGGAATGGATTTTCTGTTGGAGAAAGTAGAGAGGTGCACAGAGACTCTCCATGGCTGGCAGAGGGAGAGAACACAGGCAGCTGCCATCTGGGATAGCCACACCTGTGTTACTCACATTTCAGAAGGGCATCTGTAAGGGGAAAAATCCAGTGTGTTGGCTCTTACTCATCATGGTAACTGAATCCATGACCCAGTGTAGGAAGGACATGCCTAGTTGCTTAGGAATGCAGAGAGCAGGGAGTCATTTGCCTTTACCCTTCTTAATGTATTTTGACTGGTTGTTTGGCTAGCGTTTGCTTTCACTTCAACTGGAACAGTCCATAGCATTAAGTCTCCAGAAGGGCTATTTTCAAAGGAGGTATCTCAATAAACTGGGGTGTGAGTTGTAGAGATACAATTTTTTACTAATTATGATACTCCAAAAACCTGTAAATGAAGCTACTGTTCTTTTTAAATGAATAATGTTTGAAAACATGAATACTTAAAAATGGAGCCCCCATCTCGATTTTTTTCCATTGCTGTGACATATGTCACAGGTGATGTTTATGTTCACGCACATGATCCAGTGGGAATTCTTAGTTTGGCAGCTGTAACCATACTCCTTTCTGTCCTATTCAAAAAGAAATGAATGGGCTGGGGTGTAGCTTAAGGAAAGAGCATTTCCTTAACATAGGTGAGATCTTGGGTGCTATGCTCAACACCAAGAAGCAAAACAAAAGGGAGATGAAAATGAATGAGAGAAATGTTGTAAATAGTATTATACCTCAATGCTAACTTTTTGAGCTCAGTGGAAAATGAAAGATTGAGTATGTCTGTTCTGGATAAAGGAGGGGCATGACAATGTACTATAGGAATTCGCTGTTTCTGAGTGAGTTTGTTTCTGAGTTCCCTGGTGGTATTGCTCATTAGTTTCCTTTATGCTATAGTCACCTATGCTGTATCATTTATGGCTCTGATTTACTTGTGTTATGCAACCCAGGCAAGTCTTGTACTGAAGAAGCTCAGTAGACTAGAAGTCAATTTATATTATATAGCATTTAGCTGAGTGCTGTGGGACATTTTAAAGATTATTGGATAGTTCATGAGATTGATATCCATGTCAACCTGTGTCCATACAACACCCTATATACAGAGGTACACGAATATTTTTCTCAGTTGTACTAGTAAGATAGAACACATTTTGGTCAGTAGTAAAACTACATTTGACCAGAAATTTCTGGAATTCTGGTGTTCTGGTCCCAGAGTCAGTGCTTTTGGGAAACCATCAGACATTCATATCTGCTTCCCTCACTTGGTAAAGAGTTCTATGGACAAACTGGAAGCTGTGGGAGCATCTTGTTTTCCTCATTCTGAGGTCATTTGATATAGAATTATCAGACAAAACTATGCTAATTCAAAGCAGCTACTAGAAGTTTCTCTAGAAAAAATAGAAGAACTCAGGTTCTAGAAATTTTTGTCATTACCAATATCTTCATGAAGTTAAAGAACATAAAAGTGCAGTGATTGAGGATTATGGTGAAGCAGGGATGGATGATTCTAGGTTGTTCCATTCCAGATAAGAGATTTGTCATGCTTTATGTCAGTGGCCCCCAAGCCTCATGAATTATAGACTTGACCAAATCTAGCATTGGACTTGACC